TGCCTAAGGATCGGTGATCGTTGATCGGCCAGAAAACTGCAATCGGTGCACCCCTAGTAAGATACAGTCACATATCCCGATTGGCGGCTTTGCTACCAAATTCATTTGACAATAACGGAAAAACAGTTCTGAAAATCAAAATTCCTTCTGGTACCTTTTGTGAAACTTGGTACTAACATTATCTCACATTTGGGGAAGATTGGACAAAATTTGTGGCATATGTAAAATTCTTACACTTTTTGAAAAGAATCCAACATGGTGGCTGCATCAATTAGCTGGACATGTAATTTCCCAAGGATCACACTGATGATAACCCATGGGAACCTTCGCATTGGGCATACATGCAACACATTGCGAAAGGATGCGATGTAAGAAGCATTTTAATATAATTTTCAAATAATAAAGATGTCATCTTTTAAAATGACTAACACTGGTAACGGTACAGTTTCATAACTAAACATCACTTAAAGTAAAAAATAACTGATTCACGTGGTAAAATTATTTTGTCTGATACATAACTACAACCTTAATGAAGTTTTGTCCTTGCACTCTGAATGCATAGTGAATTGGCCTCAGTAATGTGCGAATTCATTATGAAGGGTAAAGAACTCGCTGTTGATTTCTCTCTCTCTCTCTCATCAGGAAGGTAGGGGGGTCCCCCTATTTACAACACCCCTGGAATGCATACACCTCTCTAATGTGCCAAGCCACACTATACCAAACCTTTGGTTCCTAAGGTTGATCAGAGTCCACACTGCAGGTTCATTTACATTACAGTTTGTTTTGATCCAAGATATCTGATTAACAAAGTCTTGGCTACATGAAGATGACTAAATGGTATAGTTGCAACATTCAGTTGGATAAATAAATAAGAAAAACCGAACTCATGTCACAATTTCTGGCTCCTTTCATTGAATATGTAGCAACTTTCATGTGTATGAATGAGCCATTGTCACCTGGCCACGTCCCTCCCCACCTTTTATAGCTCTGACTGGAATGTTTCTGCGAATGCGATTTGAATACGCGTTAATGCAGCTATTTAGAATGTGAATAGCGATTTTCGGGTGAGAGCGGTACTACACGCCCCCGATGCAGGTAAAACAAAGTAAGGTGACATGGTTTACTTTCTTGCCGATTTAACCTAATTTTAAAAACTTTAATACTTCTGACAATGGACGTTTTGAAAAGAAGACCGATTACGGATTTAGTTAGCGTTTTTTTTCATGTTTCTATAATAACATTTCAGTGAGTTATGAACTAAAATAGACAAGATACTCGGCATCGCTGATGATGCCGTTGACTCCAGCGGGATAAAAGTATTTTTCTGAATCGTTCGGTTTGTAATGCGTACCGAACCGAAAGCCTCGTACCGAACGGTTCAATACGAATACGCGTATCGTTACACCCCTACTCTTTAGGGGTTGTTCGGGGACAATATGCAGAAAAGTAAACAACATTAGTAGGATAAACCTTTCAATTTTTCGTAAGACGCTAAGAGTCACCGTTATTACAAAACCTAGCCCAGCACAATGAGGCAATACAAGATACCAAGAGTAAAATAACTTACCTGCGGAAAGGACTCTTCTTTACCAAAGAGGTGCAGGAACTCCACAGGACTGGTGCTGGAAGAGCGCTCAGCACTGTCATCGAGGAGCGGGAGAAACAGGGTAGGCTTGCCTTGGGCCAGACCCTCCATGTGAGAGCAAGAGGCAGACAGCGAGGATGTCGCCAATATAGACCTGCTGCCCAAGGACTGGCTGTCCAGCTGGTTGGGCAAGGCCTGAGGTGGGTGTTCCAGCTGTCTCTGCAGTTGAAGGATGTCCTGCATCTTAGTTTCCATGGCAGCTAGTTCTTCTGGATGACTTTGCGGGACTTCTTTAACTTTACTGAAAATGTTATAAGCAGGATGAAGTCATTGCTTCACACTTGTCATCGGAAACATGTGGACATATTTGTTGGTACCCTTACAGCTCATTGAAACAATGCTTCATTTCTCCTGAAAAGTGATTCAATAAAAAGCAATTGTCTAATGTGCATGCCTTTAGTATGTGACAGAGTAAACTAATAAAATTGTGAGAACAAAAAAAAGATTTATTTATTTTATAAAGATATGCTAAAATAGTACAGACAGATTTGTTGGTACACCTAAAGAGACTATTTATCCTTGCATTATAGTCTTGTTTCAAACTTTCAAGTGTTTAACCTTAATTAGCATCACAGGTGCCTTCAAGCTTTTCATCAGCCATTTAGCCTATTTAAAGGGAAAGAACATGCTATTGTGTTGTTCTGTATTATTGTGTGTACCACACTGAACATGGACCATAGAAAGCAAAGGAGAGAGCTGTCTGAGGAGCTCAGAAAGAAGATTATACACTCACCTAAAGGATTCTCTTAAGATTCTAACAGGTTTGGATGCTGTTCAACCGAATAGTTACTTCAGCATTAGTTCAAATACAAGAACTCGTGGCCATAGGTGGAAATTAGCGGGAGAACATTTCAAACTGGATTTAAGGA